TGTACGGTCTGCGCGGAAGATGTCTTTTGAAACCAGTGTTATGTAGTATTGAATTGTTTTCAAGCTTATACCTTTATCTTATTCCTTGCGGATGCAGGGGCATGTCAGGGGGCTTGGTTTAGCGTGACGTCAGCGCGTTCTCCATCAGTTGCGGAAGCTGGCAAGCGACCACAATTGGTGGAAACGAGCTGGAAGTACGCCAAACCCGTCCCCCTGACAAGCCCCGGCTTCCGCAACGAACAAGACTAAGGGTACCGAAATCTGACTGATGACCGTAGAGAGCGTAGCTTTCTAGTTTTGATTATTTTGTATCCATAACAAGGTATTGTTCACTTCTATGCTGATATGTTTTCATATGTAATTCTTCTTTTTCTCTTCTCATGCTTTATAATAGCAAATCAAAGCCTTTCCTGGAAATAGTCATTTTTTTTGTTTGTTTAATGATCGATTATCGATTGACAGCTTGAATATTGACTTTTTGATTTTTTTTTCAGAAACCGCTCAGTACGTAATGCCTTACATTAATATTACATTAGGGTCTGCTAGTTTTGATGAAAGTTGTTTTCCTGATCATTTAATGCATCTGTAGCCAAATAAGTGTCGCATAATAAGTGCTTGGAATTCTATGATGATGGAAAAGATTGTACAATAAAGTGAGATTTCTTGAGTTCGAGCTTGCTAGTGTATTTAAATCATTGGGGACAAGATAGTACAGTACATGGCAGTCGCACATACATTGGGGCATTCCAGCGAGGGGGGTCGTGTTTGTTTTCAAGGAGAATCTTTTCCTTTCTTGATTTCTCTGTTTTTACCATTTCTCGCGGTCCCAGGCGCCAGCTTTACAGCGGGAACATCAAAGAAGCTCCGGAAAAACTATGAAGAAAGTTATGAAGGTAGGAAAATTTAGTAACATTAGTGATAGGTGGAACGGGGAAGGGTACTCCACCTGTGTAAGACTTTCTAGCGGCAGGAGATGTATTTTGTATTATTCCCACCGGCTGCACACCGCAACGCCCCCGAGTGCAGTAATTTAATCAAAACGGTGAAGTCAAGAAGATTGTCCAGAAGATTCGTCGAGGTGGTGTGGTGTACAGTCATTATCCCTGCAAGCGAGGGGTCGTGGAGCGCAGCGCAGTCAGCTCTCTCACCAGTTGATGCCATCCTACTCGAAACAGCTGTGGAAGAGACTGCGATCCAATTCACGTCCCTCACGGGCATTCTTGTTTGTTCGGAAAGTGCAGGAACGTTACGTTATAGAGACCTGCTCTGACTAGCCGAGTGTTTTCCAGCTAGTTGACTCCACTCATTGAATCCTTTACAGTCAGTTAGGTCCTCATGCCAATGCCGGGCACGTGTGCAGTGGGGATGGGGGGGGAGGGGGGGAGGAGGGGCAACAAAGAAAGGACAACACTCTTGGGGTGCATCACCGATGTTTACCTCACACAACTTGGTATGCTAAACAGAAGATCCGATACAAAATATCTCAAGACAAGATGTTGAGACCAGGGCACATCACTGGTTGGGGATTTTGGTCAGGACGACCCTCCCCCTTTTCTTTAAGGGGTTTTTACGACCACCCCCTCCCACCCTGGTTCCCTCCTCACTGAGCGGTAGGGGGGAGGGATACGAATATCCTCAACCTGATGATCACCCTACAACGTCTCTCAAACAAGAAAAAACCACCTTTCAAAAAATTTTTCTCAGCCCCAACACCCTTCCCCCCTCCCAGCGACCGACCACGCCCGTCACTCCATGCGGAAAAAGGTTTTGAGGACTTCTCTAGGTGTCTTTTTTATTGTCCTCCCCCCCACTCCCTGTGTATGACGTCTCGTTCTGTGGTGGTTGGGCTATCCAATTAAAGATGCCTATAGCATTTCGTGCGGCCTTGTGTGCTGATCAAATAGAAAGACACTGCTTGAATGAACCGACTAGGACTCCATTTTTGTACTTTTTCACATATCGGTGAAATCCAGGAGCATCACAGCTATTAGAGACAGACGAAGGTGGAAAAAAAGGCAGCAGAGGGAACCTTCAAGAGTGTGGCACCTCTGAGCGTCTCTGCGTCCCTGTTCAGCACATCCTCGCTCAACGTGAGTCTACCAAACCACATTTTGGAGCGTTTTTGAATCTTCTGCTGCGTTCCTTACTAGTAATTTCATTGACACCTACAGATTCATTTTTAAACCCTGCCAATCCACGTTCTGCAGTCGTGGAATGTACCCCTGAATCCTTAATTGCAGGCAAACAATAATTTCAGATCCACTGAGGAGGGCGATGAGCATCAGAATGTTCGAAGAAAGGGAACATTCTGTGCAAGATCTCGGACTCTTGGGCTTTTAGGCTGCGTTCATACCTTGCGATTACGTCGGCGACGTTGACGTAACCGGCGTTTTCGGCGAGTAGTTCGCAAATATGAAATAAGTATTGACCCGACGTAATGGACTTAACCGACGTAACGGGTGTAACCGATGTACGACAACTTCGGTGGACTGGATACGTATTGATCCGACGTAGTCGACGTAACCGACGTCAGTCAATACGTATTCAGTCTTCTGTCGCCGGTTGCGTCGAATATGTTGGTTACGTCGGAGTGCATACGCTGTCTTAGTCGTTCAGTCTTCTGTCGCCCATTACGTTGGTTACGTCGGTAATGGCGATTACGTCGGATCGATAATTACCCCTTCTCTGAGGATTGTCTCCGATTACGTCGCTTAGGTCGATCACGCCTGGACGTCCATTACGTCGGATCGATACGTATCTCATGTTCGCAGCACAGTCATCCATCACGTCAGTTACGTCGACTTCGCCAACGACGTCGCAAGGTATGAACGCAGCTCTAGTCTTTTGGAATAGAACTTTCAGCAGCCTCTTCCAGACACAAAGTTTCTACAGTAGAAATTTTGCCTTTTCGAATTCAAAGCAAATATTTACGTGTAAGAACTAAAAAATAAAATAACAATCATCAGTACTGATTTCTTCCTTTATTGAATCACAATGGTAGTATGTAGCTTCACTTAAATATTGATAGTGTTTAAAGATGCTTGTCAATGAGCTCTAGTCATCAGGTACCAGTTCTTGCCATGGATCACCGCTCACCCAGTTCACTGGCACGGCGTCGATGATTTTCACACGTGGTAGGATTTCTCGAACTCGATTACGGTAGAAATGTTGTGTGCTGAAGTTCACTCATTATTTTGTACCGTACCTATGCCTATGACAATGTCCATAACGTTCTTATAATGTGCGTTGAAATGAATGTTATACTACGCGTCCAACATCATCGTGGACTGTATGAGTATTGATCGGCGCCCGAAATGCCGATTTTGCAAAGACGCGCCGATTCTCCCGAGTTGCAAGGTATGAAAGCAGCTTGAGGGCACAAGCGACCAAGGAACGGGATGGCTCAGGCTCATCATTCTTAACCATGGATTTCCACCCCTCGACCTACTGTTTCATAGGTGGTTCGTGCCGTCTCCAAGAGCGTCGGCACAGCTAGGGAGACGGGCAAGAGAACCGTGAATTGCCGCTTCGTCGCGCGCGGCAGTGGGCGCGACGTTTCCTTAATTTGCACTACCCTTTCGACTGGAGCATCGGATTTCATGTAGACAAGGACATGGTGACAATGTCTATTTTTGGTCATACATTGTCTATTCTCGACCAATACCACCTGAAATCGTCGTCATTAGCGAGCGCGACGTCGCACGCGGCGATCAGTGACGTTACGAATTACGATTCTCTTGCCACATACCCGGCACAGCTACCTTTCCACCGTTGGTGTTTACCATCAGTCAGTCACTGAATGTGGCGCGCCTCAATGCAATCCTTAGCGCAAAGCAGTCAGCGATAAAGATAATTATGCCCATGTAAATGAAAGAATCTGAACGAAAACTTGCCTATATATAGGATTCATTTCCAGTGTGACATCTCTGAGAGCTGGCAAACGATTTAGGTAGGCAACTTCTGACCAGTTTGAAATCTGGAGCAAGTATCTATCTGATTTTGAAGGCCATATATTGCCGCGAAGCCTCTCACCCGGTTCCTACGTATCCACAAACTCTTCAGATTGGTAAGATGTTGAAGATTCTCGATCTTTTCGATTTGGTTATCGTTAAGGTCAAGGGCGACAAGCGCGACGTTGTTGACAAGGCTAGAACGAAATTATTGATCGGCATGATCAAACGGGATTGGGCCGAAGTAGCGTATACCTGATCAAATAGTGAGAATGACTTGCAGGGATAAGTTTACAAGAGGGAGGGTCACGGGGCATGGCGCTAACGTAGTTGGAGGGTCCAACCAGTCCCACCTCTTCGTGC